ACACTAACTTCATACTCCTGGGAAGAGTGGTTCCTATCATAAGTAGCTAGTCATTCTAAATGGCTTAGTTTACGAATTTTATGTTTTAATTAACCTCATTGCCAACTGTATGCTCACTGGAAAAATGAGCTTGTTTGTGACAGTTTTACTATGTAGCCCAAGCTGCCATTGAACTCCCCAAGTAGCCCACCACAGCCTCAAACTCCTAATCCTCCTGTCTCAGTCTCCCAAGTTCTGGGATTACAGGTGTGCATCATCACACCTGGTTACCAGTTCATTTCTTTTACTCTTTGACCTCAAGTATATCAATTTCCTTAATTCCCTGATTCTATCCCAATTTTTCTCTGATCCTTTTCCCAGAGGTCAAACAGTGTTCGTACCTACCATGAGTTGAAACCACAAAGGCTAGTAATTTCATCTATTCAACTGCATACTCTAAAGCCTGCTTTAGGAACCCATACCAATGTTTTTGCATGCCAGTAAATATGATGCCCTTATAAAAATAAGGACAAACTCTTACTTATCCTTAAATCCTACTTCCTGTTTAGTTTTGTTCAAAAACATCGATGAAAAGACAATTTCCTCCTCATATAAACCATGCATTTACTTTTAGACTAGTGTTAAAATCACACTTTTATCTTCCTCAGGATAAATACCTATGATTCCTACAACACAGTTCACCACTTAATGCTGCATTTTATGTTCTCTCAAATCTCTATAGTTTCTATGTATTTTTTTAATGAAGTAATCAAATGGGATGCCAGTGAATAACAGATTATTACAAACACAGCACAATACTAACACCATACCACCACCACCAAAAAAAAAATTTCCTTTGGAAAAAAAAAAAGTAATGGCTCGACTCTGGTATGTCCTTTATACTAAGACAGAGGCTAGGAATAGAAAGAAAAAAAAAAAGACAATCTCAGAACTTTCAACTTTCAAATCACGTCTCTAAGAACAAATTTATTTCCTCACATAAGAGCCCCTATTTTCACAGCCTTGTGCCTTTACAACCTCCCATTCCCAGACAGGAAAAGAACTTTCCCCAACACAACCCAAAAAAGCTCTTCTTACTATGAATTAATTGCAGCTAACTCCCCAGAAAAAGGAAGTGGTCTTAAACTTCTTCACTATCTCCTCAGTTCTAATAGAGCCCATTGTTTTAATTACTTATTCAACTACTGAAACTACTTCCTATAATCCTTTTGTTCCTTTCGAATCAAAGTATCATTTTCCTGAACTGGAGAAAGAGAAACAAGGTTGAGAGACTACTAAACTGGAAAGCAGAGAAAGAATTAAGTTTTTTTAAACTAAATTTAGTTGATTTGTTCTTCCATAACGCAAGCAAAATATTTTACCTTTAAGATAATTACAAAGCATGTATGAAATGCAGAATAAAACTTTTAAAAATATTTTTAGATCAACAAGTCAGACAAAAAAATAAAACTAGTAAGAAGAGAGATAAAAGGTATGATCTTAAAAATAGAGATAGCTATGGATATAACTCACTGATAGCACACTTGCTTAGCACGCACAAGGCCCTGGGTTCAATCCCCAGCACTGCAGAGGTGGGGGTTAAAAAAAAATAGATTGCACAATACACAGAGAAAAGAGGACTGTAATCGAGTAATCGAGGAAAAGATACAGAGAAATTTGTCCTCCAAAAAGGAGAGCAGTTGTGAATGCAAATTGTATGATTTCATTTTGTGTTTTATGTTTCTTTCTAAAGAAAACAATAGTTTGACTGCTTGAAATAAGTTTCAGAGAACAGAGGAAAATGGATTTCAGACTTTGTTTTTATAGCAAAGGCTTCTTCCATAAAGAATTGTGTAAGGATCAAAACACCTGTAATTCAATGAGACACTTCAAGTTTAGATTAGTCCTTGTGCCCCTCTACCTGGTAACACAAAGAACAGGAAGCTATACCATGAAAATACAGGGATGAAGATGCTATATGAGCTACTTCTACCTTCTGAACCTGTTAGGTCAAGGCCACAGCTAGCAAAATTCTAAGGGATTAAAGTCCACCCATACCCCAAATCAAAATCTACTCCCACCCCACCTTGGCTCAATGGTTTTCTCCCACTGTAGTGAGGGTGGTTTTGGAAAAGCTCCTCAAATGCCAGGAAACACTGTAATACAAAAAGAAAAAACAATTCATAAGTACCAAAACTTAACTAACATTTTGGCCTGCCTCTCAAGGAAGACTGCCATAATGAAAAAAGTACAAGTCTACAAACCAACTGTATTTCACCTGTTCAGCATTCATTCTGACTTTTGCTGTGATTCCAGGTGAGTTAAAGGGCAAGTAGAGGGACCCAAGAAGGCACACTCTGTTGTCATTAAACTGGTAGAATATAAGCCACAAGCTGCTGATGACCATCTCTGCCACTAACTGGGCTAAAAACAAAGTCATCGGAGAAGTTAGCAGAACTAACAGACGGAAAGAGACAGTCCTAATGATACGACTTAAGAACCTGGCTCCAGATCTTCCTAAAGTACTTTCCTCACCTTAAGTTAGTTTGTATTGGGTTTCTGGAACTGCCAAGTCCCTCCGTCTGACCAACACAGCTAGGTTCTTATTCTACACTAAACCTGAACAAGTCATTCCTCATTATCTGGCCTTAGTGACCCTCTTTCTTAAAATAGGATGACACTGAAGTTTTCAAAACCTTTTGTTTTCCTAAACAAAATCTAATTTTCATTATCAAAAATAAAAATGACTTAATTTACATTAATGTATTACTTAAAATCAAATTCACAACATATGTTATGACCATAATCAATGAGATCAAAGGCTATTTAAGCCTCACTTCAGGACCAAAATTGAAAGTGACTACATTAATATAAATATACTTTATAAGATCAAATGTAAGATATTCAGTTACTATGACCAAAATCAATGGGAACAAACATGGATCTAATAAATATAAAATATTAGAAATTAATTGTAAAAACTGAAGGTCTTAGGCTTCTCAGAATTCAATTTATTTCTGGATTTTATATTAACCGCACATTACTAAGATAAATCCTGAGTCCAAAAGAATAGTTGCAAAGAGTAACATATTTTTCACATCTGCCTTTCCTCATGATGCTATTCAATTAAAAATGGAGAAAAGCTTTAACTTCTGAACAAAAGAAAATCAGCCTGACAGCAACAAGTTTTTTAAACTGCTCTCCAAGTGGTTAAAATTTAATATATAATATAGTCAGGCATTCCTGTGAGTTCAATTTTAATTTTACTGACTTTTAATTCATTTAAAAGTTACATAGGAACCAAATGTTTATAAAATCTAATCAGTGCCTTCACAGAGTTTAAATAATTTATAAAGTACATAAAAATATTTCTCCATGTGACTCATGTATACTATTTTTAAAAAAATTGAGGGATACATAAGAAATTCTAGTTCTTTCTTAATAATAAGCCTGCTTTAAAGGAAAGAAAAATTTCACTATTAATTCCTATTCACAATGTTAGAGTTATGAACATGGACAAAAAAATTTTTAAAATAAGACTATTGTACTAATCTATTCAATCTTACTGAGAACCACTTGATGGAGCAGATCAGAGAAAGTACTATAAAAACATTTATTACTTAAAAGTGTCTGCTTTAGATAGAAATGAGTAACTCTCCATCTCTAACCTCAAGAAGTCTAGTGGAGAATACAATGTATTCATCCATTCAATGAGGGTGCCTCCTCACTGCTACCAGCCACTGTGCAAGCAACACTGTGCAAACAGTGGACATGATACTCTATATCCTCATAAATTTAGACTTTAATCGAAGAACAGCAGGTAACTAATAAAATACAGAAGGAAAGAAAAGAGAAGGGTGGGAGGGAAGATCACTATATGATTAGTTAATATTTTGAAAGACTACTGGCTACTATGTGAAAGTCACTATAAATTTATAAATTGTGGAGGGAGCAAGCCCAAAGACAAAGAGATCAGGTAGGAGCAACTACAATGATGACAGTAGCTACAAAGTAACATGAATGCAAAAGAGAGAACAACAAACTTAAATGAAGCATGGAGAAACACAACAATAAACTTCAAATGTTATAGCTCAATCTTGAAACACAACCAACAGGCCTGAAAGACATGTTTGAGAAACTTCAAGAAGTTCCTCATACAGCAAGTCTTGAATGAGGTACATCATAACTGAAATGACAGATTAAGGAAAAGATTATAACAGATATTTTTTAACAAAGAAAGTAAGCACCTCCTGGACATTGAAGAATACTTTTAAGCAGGATGCTTGTGTGACCAGGCTTGTATTTTAGAAATATTCTTCCAGGGACAGTTAGCCTAAAGATGTACACAGGAAGCCTAATCATTCAAACAAGAAGTACACTGCCATGTACATCTTGACAAGAAGCACACTGTCTCCAAGTACTAATCTAATAATTTATGTTAACAACCAAATATGGCTGAAGTACTCTAAGCTTTAGAAAACAAGCAACTACACCAAGGCCACACTATAGTTGACATGACTACTAAAACAAAGAAAGAATAAAATATTTTTCAAAATACAATGAGGAGAGGAGATAAATGGAGTCAGTAAGAGAATATGGCAAGTCAGAAAATGATCTAATAACAATTTGTTTCAAGGTCAGATTCCCATTTGCCAATTACATACAGATACATCTTTTATATGTAATAATTAACAATTACAGATCCTGACAAGCAGTTCAAACACCAAATTAAATTCAATACACAACAGTTAAGAAAGCGACCAAAGACAGACTAGATTAGAAAGAACAAACAATAATAGAGGACTAGCTCTAGCTGGCTTCCACTTCCTTAAAAAGAAAGCTCTCTCCAACTGGCTAGTCCTTGAAGTCTACCAACTAAACCAGAGATACAGTGGAGTAGAGAAGTACCTGCTATTTCACAAAGGTTCCAGACCAATGAACTAGTAAAGTTCTTGATTCAAGCATGAAAAAAAGACATACAGAAGTATCCAATTGCTTCATTTGAAGAAAATGAATCCTACCTTTCCGGGGTCATCCTTGGATCGAGGCACTTTAAGGAAACATTTGTTCAGTGACAGATTATGTCGTATGGAATTCTGAAATTAAAGATGAAAAGCCACTGGGTCAATGGAATTCAAAATAATATCCATCTTTGAAAACAGAATCAGAAAATGTTTTTATGCACTGGAATATAATTGCAAATGGAATAAACTTTTAAAAGATCTTCAAATTAAACCTTTCTGATTTTCAAAAGACAATTTCTAGTGGATTCTGTAATAATGTAAGATATGTAGCATGTTTAAGACCTTTTAACAATGCAGGAAAATACCTAAGATATAATGTCAAGTACTAAATGTCAAATTCAAAATTGTACACATTTTGTGAATTTAATTAATGTATTTGCTTATTCTTGGAAAATCATATTGTAAAATGTTAGAAGTTATTCCATTTGGAATTTTAGATGATGACTATTTTCTTCTTTTTACTTTCCAGTAAGGTCCATGTATTTATAAGACATGTATCATCATTTTTTAATCAGTTTTATTTTGTTTTGTTTTTCTGATGTTAAGGGCTGCAACTGTAGTTCAGTGGGAGAGCATTTGCCTAGTGTTCTCAAGGCCCTGGATTTAATCCCTAGTGCTGCAAAGGAAAAAAAAATTTTTAATTCCACCACCCTATTATATAGAGATTAATTAGCTCTTGCTGTACCTATAAGAAAAAAAGTCACAGGGAAAGCTACTAGCTACAGAGGGTTAGGAAGACCATCTGGGCTCCACCATGCAGCAAGAAAGAATAACCAAGTTGGGTGGCAAGAATATGCCTTTGGAGACCTGGAGAGTCTGTGAACCTTCCCCGCAAAAAAACCTATTCATGAGTAAGTAGGACAACTGTTACAGAAAATATCTAAAAGTCCATTTCTTCTCAATTAAAAATTCCATGATCCACTTCCAAATAATTTTATTCATTCCCAATGACCAGATATTTGGGAAAAAGGGATTCAACTGTATTTAGCCATTATTTAGAATGGTTACCTGTGGGAGTCATTTTTTGGCATGTCTTTATTTTTCTGCATAAAATCCAAAAGTCTAAGGAGAAATGCCTAAAGTAAAACTTCCTTCTCACAAGGGCAATTCTTGGATTTAAACATTTTTAAAAGGGGGCTGGTGGAATGGCTCAAATGGTAGAGTACCTGCCTAGCCCAGTGTGAGGCCCTAAGTTCAAATCCCAGCACCACCAAAAAAAAAAAGCTGCTCTGTTCTGTTTCTGGTGTCCCTTAGAGCCATAGCTGGTGCCGCCAACACTGGGTGCCTGTCTCTTGATGAGTAGCTCCCGAAAGGTGACACCAAGAAGGCTGAGGAGGAGCTGGAAGAGTACAAGGACCTAGATGTGATCCTGTTGGAGAGACTGTGAGGTCTGACAGAGATGTTCCAGAACAGCCAGAGCCACTTTTTTTTTTTTTTTTTTTTTGTGGTACTGGGGGCTTGAACTCAGGGCCTACACCTTGAGCCATTCCACCAGCCCTTTTTTGTGAAGGATTTTTTCAAAATAGGGTCTCATGGAACTATTTGCCCAGGCTGGCTTTGAACCACAATCCTCCTGATCTCTTCCTCCTGAGTAGCTAGGATTCCACGCATGAGCCACCAGCACCCAGCCCAGAGCCACTTTTGATCTCTCCCTCTCTGTGGTTCAAAAAAGGTATAGATTTTCCAGGGCAGCCTTGTGGATTGGGACCACTTTCTTTACGATCCTGGTTCTTCCTGTTGTCTTTGAGACTGAAAAGTTGCAAGTGGAGCAACTGCAGCAGCGGCAGATATTTCTAGGGCCTAACACAGGCCTTCACTTCCTGGAAAGATCTAGACTGTTACCACTATATTTGAGCTGTCTTGGTGGAAGAACTTTGAAACTGTGTTTGAACTGATTATTTGGATTCTTTTCTTTTCAACTTTGGCACACTGATCTATCTACACCCAGTGGGGATTCATGGCCTCAAGAAGACTACCAACTTGCAAGTATGCCCTCCATGTAGTCTTCACTCTGACACCAAAATACAGCCATGCAGATGGTTAATCCAGCTCTGGCCACCCTACTCCTTTCAATAAATTGCTCCTAACCTAAAGATCTCCTCACTCTCCCAATGTGGGATAGAAACTGATGTGAATGAGAGGAAAGCATCCATTAACTTTAAAAAAAAAAAAAGAAGAAGAGAGATGCTGGGGAGGGACACAAAATATAAAACTTACAAAACACATTACAGTCTTAGTATAAAGCAGCCATAGGGAATCCCTGTGTTGGAGAGGAAGTCTGGCTGCACCTTCAGCCACAGAAGGGAATGATGGGGACTATAAAGGACAGAGTAGGAGCTCATTTCCTGGGTACATTTTGGCTATTAGACCTGGGTATGTGTATGTTTAAAAAAAACTCAATGCTCACATTTTGTATTTAAATATTAGAAAGCGATTCCAACTGGAAAAAAATTAAATGTTTTAAAAAAGATGTACACAGAATAAATTCAAGCCTATGTTATCACCACAGTATAAACTTAAAACTTATGGATGGGAATCCCACATCTGTTTGAGATATAAGCATCTATAAAGAATGATGTTTCCCCTCAAACAGTAAGAAAACAGTAGGTTAAAAAGAAATCATACCTAATTTTGAACTGCAGAGACCCCAAGTTGCATAGCAACCAAGAAAGCTACACTTCTAAGAAGGACAAGGGTATTCAAGGGAAACCAGACATGCAAGCCATCTTGCCTTTGGCAGAACACAGGAAAAAGATCTGGCCATCATCAGTCAGGTAATAAGAAATTACCTAAATTTTAAAGACAAAACACGGGCTAATGAGTCAGTTTAGAGTAACAAAGGCCCCAGTCGTAAGGAAAGTCCCACTCACGCTCAAACTCTTCTCCATAAGCCTTCTCCATGTTCCATTACAAAGACTGACAGACCAAGGACAGTCTCCCTTAGTGGCATAAGCAGAAAGAAAGTTACTAATGGGAACAAAATAATGAGGGATGGAAGAGAGGTAAAAGAAGCCCACCAGCCTTCCATAGATTTTTAGAAGTGTTGGGGGGGGGACACTTAAGTTTGAGGTACAGACAGCAAAATTTCTCATCCAAAGGTCTCTGGCAAATATTCATGGTTTCTGGGGAAAGAAAAAACAAACAAAATACATCTATCTCTGGAAAGGGATAAGAAACTCTTTCCAAAGACACAGGTAAAGATCTACTAGTGCTGGAGGATCCTATACTGATACCATGCAGAGGCTGGCTACAGTTGTGGAAGGGGCAGGAAACTCCCATGCAAAAATAACTACAAATACAAGGATAATGTGAATGAGAGAAAGACAAACTGAAAAAGCTCCACCACAAGTTCAATGGTGTAGGTAAGAATAAGGGGGACCAACACAAAGAGAAACTCTTATCACTACCAAAAACATAGCACTTAAGTAACAAAAACAAACAAACAAAAAAAAGCAGTCTATGTCAGATGCCAGTGGCTCACAGCTATAATCCTACCTATTCAGGAGGCAGAGATTAGGATCACGGTTTGAAGCCAGCCAGCCAGCCAGCCAGGGCAAATAGTTCCACAGGACCCTATCTCGAAAAAAACATCACAAAAAAGGACAAGTGCAGTAGCTCAAGGTGTAGGCCTGAGTTCAAACTCCAGCACTGCAATTAAAGCAGTCTTAGTGATAGAGGAGGAGCAAAAGTATCTGTAACAAGAAGGGTAGAAACAACTAAAATCCAAAGAATGGAAAAAATGAAAAAAAAAAAAGATAATAATAATAATCCTATAGCACCCAAGCCTCTCATCCAAGTACAAGTTAGGAATCTGACTCAATCCCCTACATGAATGGCATGAGAAAAAGATACTTGTCCACTTACTGTACTATTTACTTCAATCCCTACCATTCTTCTACACATGTACCTGTCACACAAGTCAAAAAGTATAAGATACAGAAAGGCAAGGAAAACCCCACTGTCAAGAAGTAAAATAATCTACAAAACCCCATTGAGAGACACCTCGGGTATCTGAGCTATCAGGAAAAAAAAACTAAAATAATTATTATTAACATACTAAAGGATCTGGGCTGTTCACAGTGGCTCATGCTATTTGGAACACAGAGATCGGGAGGATCAGCGGCCAGTCCTGGGAAAAAACACAAGACCCTATCCAAAAAATAACTAAAGCAAAAAGGGCTAGGAATGTGGCTCAAGTGGCAGAGTGCCTGCCTAGCAAGCACAAGGCCCTGAGTTCAAATTCCAGTATTACCAGAGAAAGACAAAGAGACACAAAGAAGGAATGTCAATAGCGATGTGGAAACTATAAGAGACAATGTAAATGACAGAAATAAAAAACACAAACAATAATGAATTCCCAGCTAGGGATGTGTAGCTCAGTAGTAGAGTGCTTCTAGCACACACAGGACCCTGGGTTCAATCCCCAACACTACTCCAAAAAAGATAAAGAATTCCTCAGGTGGGCTCATCTGTAAACTGGACACAAGTAGAGAAAGGCTTGGGGAACTTGAAGATAGATCAACAGAAGTTATCCAAACTAAGATAAGCAAGTGCACACAAAGACTTAAAGATCAAAACCCTGTGGGATAACACATGTAATTAAAGTCCCAGAAAGAAAAAAGAATGGGATAGAAGGAAAATTTGAAAAATAGTCATCTGGAATCTTCCAAAAATAATACAAGATATCAATCCACATATATAAGAATTTCAGAGAACACTAAGCAGAATAAATTAAAAAATTCACAACCAAAGGCTGGAGGTATGGCTCAGTTATAAGAGTGCTTGCCTTGCAATACATGAAGTCCTGGGTTTGATCTCAAATACCACCACCACCCCACCCCCAGAAAAAAATCCACACTACCCCTATATGCATTACAGTTAAAATACTGTAAACATCTTGAAGGCAGTCAGAAAAGGAAGAAGAAAAGAAAAAGGTTATGTATAGCAGAATAAAGATAAGAATTACAATGGACTTCTTCAAAATTATGCAAGTTAGAAAACAAGTAGTATCTTGTGATATTTTAAGAAACTCAAAGGAAAAACCAATGTCGAGTATATAAACACAGCAAAAA